CTGCCTTTCTTATAGGTTATATTTTTCTTTCAAACTGGTACCCATATAAATTGTAAATATTAGGTAATTTTATTTCTTGAATAACTGACAACATCAAATAATCTTTAAAAATATAATAATAACTGACTACGGTTCAAGGACGATTGTCTGCTAAAAGTAGCAACGTAGCAACTAGTTACGATTAATTACTAGAAATTTCACTCAAAATTATTAATCGAACCATATTTCTCCTAAAAAAAAAAATATTTAGACAATATAAAAACACACACCATCTTAAATCAATACACTYTTTTCTCCGTTTGGAATCTAAATTTATAATTTTCTATACAATGTATAGTATAATGGTATAGTGTAGTTTTCAAAATATCATTMAGATTGCATATTGAAAGYTTTTAAAAAACGGGTGCAGCGTGCAGCATARAAGTTTAGTGCGTGTTATTATGACTGATAGATGGCGCTTATAAACCTATCAGTATCGTACGTACAACGAATACCGATTTCCACTGACGAAACGCAATCGACATTTAGTCGTTTTTCGTTTTAAAACCAATTATWACCGTTTAAAGTTTAACGAAGCTGTATTGAACGATGCTATTTGTACCGAAAGAAACAATWAGAGCGTGTGAACGAGGCTTCGGTTGGTGTGCGCCTCCAGACGTCACACTGCTAAGTGTTTCTATATAAAACTGTGTTAGTCGATCCAACGGCATCGCTTCTCGGCCTAATGGCTAAGATCAAAAGTGTAGTATCTGTTCTTATCAGCTTAACATCTGATAAATCACTTACAAAGTGATTCACATGTTAAACTAATTTTTCTAAATTTGGTGGAGATTGGGAGCTTGCTGCCGCTCCACCGCGGGTTGGCCCGGAGTTGCACCACCTCCGGGATCGACCCTCATATTAAACGACAATGGTAATTTATATGGWTATCGGATTGATTAYAATCGTTWAAAGATGATCGAAAGTGYACCGTAGAGWTATTATTAGGTTCAATTCCAAGTTATTTAAACAGTTCGACKCGATTCCTATATATATTATTTAAAATTATCATTGTTTACGATCACGATTAACAGCATTTTTAATGAGGCTCAAATATGTACACACTTAGTTAAACCGAACCACTGAGATATAACCTAAAGGTCTTTTATTTACTAATTAATTGCTATTATATATTAAAACCACGATTAAAGGTACATTTTACTGTAATACTTGTCGACTGTAAGACATCATAAGTCTTAACTTAGATAACTTTTTGTATATATATATATATATAAAGACCACATGAAGTTTCAAAATTAACAATTGGAATACCTAGAAACGAAGAAAAAAAAATGTGGGAAGTAGCTTTAGGTGTATTATTTAAAAATCAAATCGGGTTTGTTCAAATCATTTTTATAAAAAAGACATAAATAATACAYGTGGACATCAAATGAGGGAACAAACCCATTTACAGTAAGCTAGTATGTCTAATTATTCGAATACCTACCTATCATAATATCAGTACCTATAAAATATGTTTAGTGGCGTTTAGTCTGCAATATAACCTAAGTTTTTTTGAAAAATAAAACATTGATATTATGATTAATATAATTACTTCCTTATTCTTATAAGGTTGATTTAAGAGATGGCAACTAAAAAAAGGGGAATTACCGTTTATGCATCCTTTTWAAAAAAAAGAAAATGATAAAATAGAGGTATGTTAATTTATGTCATAACTATTAGTACTTAGAAGTACCACAATATACATTTTCATATTTCATCTATTTTATAATAGCCCCTTATATTATACTATATAATTGAACATGTTGGTGTATTGTTTATATAATAGGATGATCCATAATTTAGTGAATCGCCAAAGAGACACAAGGTAGGTCAAGTTCAAGCATTGTGAAAATAATATAAAACATGCCTRATTTCAATTTAATGAAAGATGCTTTAAAAATAAAATAAGATTTGTACCAAATTGTTCTTCAGATTKTAGTAGAAAGTAGACAATGACTTATATAAAAATATACTTAAGCATTTTATAATTTTAAATATAATTTAATAATTTATTATAAATAGACGGAGGTCTATGAAATTGCATATTTTTTTCCTTTTCACAAAAAAGTGACAATTTACAAAAAAAAGTAAAAAATAATATTTTATAACTTAGAAAAATCAAAAATACATTTTATAGGCATTGAATAGTAATTGAAATAATGATTAGGTTACAACGTAAACTATCTCTTGCTTGTGTTTAAATATAAATATACCAATGTCCAAAGTTAATATTAATATTATAGGAATTTGTGATGTAAATAGTTGAAATTTCCCTGCATATTTGTACGATTTTAACTGCATTATGGTAWATCTTGGTACTTTTTAGTGCATAAAAATCAGCGCTCTAATTATAATAACGACAATACATACATTTTAATTTCAAGCAAGCCTTAACTTGATTGGATGAAGGCATGCAAATTTTTCAAAATATCTGATTACAGAAGAAAAGTTTTTAACTATCAGTATATTCGAAGGCCTGAAAATTACAATTAAATCTACCATTGATTTAGTAGAATATTTATTGAATGAATGTGAATTTGAATATGTATTATCTGTTAAATTAATCAGGATTGTTTGGAGGTTAATGAAAATATTAATTTTGAAATTTAATTATCTATGACATCATAAATAATGTTTATAGAAATTCTTCGGTATTATCTGTCAAGTGGCAAGTCCTAATGACCACCCTTCAACTGTTTAGGATGTTATCAGTTTATTGTGTAATAAAACCACCTAAAGCAGGAAACTGTACAATCTTAATAGGTAAACAAGAATTTTTTATACTTTTTAACAAATATAAATAAGTTATAAGTATAACAAACAAAATTATATGCTTTTCTTATTTTTAGACAATAATTCACCAATTTCAGTAGTTGATCGGAAAAATATTATAACAAATAATAAAACCTGTGACAGAAAAAAAAATTGAAACATTAAAAAATCAAACGGATGTTATTGTTGAAAATGGCCAATGGGAATTGGATGATATTATATTTGAAGATCATGATTATTACCAAACGCCAAACRGCAAACACCACAATCAACAGTTTTTGAATGTGTAGTTTAATTTTTTTTAGCAGGGTAACATTAAAATATTTTAAGTACCTACACTAACTAATGGAACTTATATGATTGYAATTTTGTATATAGATATTTAACAAAGAGGCTGAAAAAAAGTACAACATGTGAAATCTGTATAAAAGTTTAAATACGGAGTATGGTGAATCTACAAAGAAAACAACTGACCTTGTAAATTTGAAAATCAGAGGCTTTCTTAACAAATCCGAACAATAATTTATTTTTAATTATTCAACATGTGGAGATGTATTTTGAAAATATGCTGATTCTTCAAACCCCCTTTGMAAATACTTTTGAAGATTTTTTTCAGAATGAAAATAGAATTCTCACATTGCCGTGCAAACAACATAAAGTTGATATGTTAACAAATATATTTGTAATGTATATAACAATGAGAATGAGGCAATTTTTGTATATATTCTAATGTTGAATAATGTATGTACAACAAATTTATTTAGGTATATGTTTACAAMATATTTTTAATAGGTAGTTTTTTATTTCGGTAAATATTGTATACTGTATATTATATTATATACCTATAGGTTATAGGTACTTATTATTTGAATAAATCTTGTGTCTTGTTAATTGGTTTTTGAATAATCTTTTTAAATACAACAAAATATGTGTGTGGTTTAGATTTCCGCTACAAACCTAATTTCATACTAAATAACATGAATGTTTTGCTTATTAATTATTATATTTATATCTAATCGTAATTATTTATAATCAATCATTAATATTATTTACTGTATTTTGATTTAATAAGTAGGTATTAGTGCATTACTGTTTGTTCTGTGGTACATATTATAGGTAGCTAGTTTTATGCTATAGCCCTATAGGTAGTTACCTAACTACYTAAATAAAAGCATTTTAACTTTTTTCCTTTTGAATACGTCGTGATATTACAATGTCAAATAGTTGTTAACTTATCACTTAGATGGGGCTAGTAGTCAGTCCATAACATATCGCGGTTTCGTAGCCGTTTTCTGCCTATGCAAATCGATTTGCCTAATAAATAACCCCGGAAAAAATAACCCCGAAAAAAAAACCCCCGAAAAATAACCACGGAAAAAATAACCCTATAATAAAAATGATTTGTAAGTAATAAAGTATAAATTTGTAAAACAATGTCAATAATATATAAATAAAAAATTCTCATTATAAACGTGGAATACAATACAATTTGTCAATTTAT